CGGGGTCGCCCCCCCGCCGGCTCCCCCCGAGGCTTTCAATGCCGCGGAGGGGCTCCGGCGGCGGGGCATCCGGTGTACAAGACGACCCCCGATTTTTGGGGGATGTTTTTTAACATCAGAGGTCGTCTTGTACGCCGGAATATACGGTACCTCAGGTGGCTCCTGGTTGGTGGTACACAGGGGCTAAGGCTCATCCCTGCCCTGGCCCTGGACCATTCACTAGACCAGCCAGCAAACTCCATCCCAAGTCCTGTTGTGCCCCCTCTCTGCTTTGTGGAGGTAGGATACAGAGTGGGAGGGGCACCTTGACATCAGCACCTCTCCTCTCCTTCCCCTGCCCTGCACAGAAAGCAGGAGGCTCCTGAGGGAACAGCTCCAAGACAAAGTACAGCTGCCCCACCCCGTACTGCTGAAGGGCTGGCACTTGATAATAGCCTCTTGGCCAAACCAGTCAGGATCACCTGTCAGAGGCTCCAAGATGTACCAGTAGATCCCGAATGACTGGTTGGTGACCATTGTTCTAATCTATGCTCCTATTTACTATTAATTAGCATCCAGTACAGTGCCACAATATGTTTGGTGCTGTTCTAACAAAAACAGAGGTAGTCTCCTGCCCTGAAAAGCTTACACCCTGACGACAAGACAAGCAGCTGAAGGATAGAAGGAATAGGTACAACAATTGGATTTACAGGATCAAGCAATAGCTGAATATGTTTTCTGTTACAGTTTGTGTTATAGTCTTAACACTGTTATTTGTAACTTTTTATTTCATTTTTATTCAACTCTATGCCCACTTCCCTTGCAAAAATAAACTACAATTTCTGAAATACATTAATGGCCTAACTCATTACACCTCTTCACACCAGTCTGAACATGCTGACCAAAACTGTGTTTACAGTTTAATCAGAGCTTTAGGGCAGTTTTCATGATTACAGTGGGGAGGGATCTTTTTATTATGAAAACAATAATGTATATACAGCCTGTTACACAATTTTATGATACAAGTATAAACTTTGTTTTCAGGGAGGAAAAAGAAACTACTGCTCCCTACTAGCCAGAAAAAGAATTTAGCCTCAACTGTTTGGCCACAGCCGTGTCTAGTCAAATTTCATCTGTAGAGCAGAAGACCTACAACAGCTTCAATTTAGACTTTAGTAAAGCTTGAAACTGAATGACTGCAAGTCTGCATAGCCAATACAATTTGGTTTTCAAGTTGACATCTATGCTTATGAATTTTAATCTCATATCTGACAGAACTGATTATCAATGTTGCATATAAAGAAGGGCTCAGCCAAAATTCTTCAAGGAGGCCCAAGCAACCTTGGAAGACACCCAACTGTAAGCATCTGAATGTTAATTGCTTTTAAATACTAGGATGGAGAGAAGCTGTTTGCAGTGGTGTCAGATGACAGAACGAGGTGGAATGATCTCAAGTTCCAGTGAAGGAAATCTAAATTGGATATTAGGAACAATTATTTCACTAGGAGGGCGGTGAAGCTCTGGAATGGGTTGCCTAGGGAGGTGGTGAAACCTCCATTCCTGCAGATTTCTTAATCTCAGTTTGACAAAGCCCTGGTTGGGGTTGGACTCTACCTTCTGAGGCCACTTCGAACCCTATGATTCTGATTTTAACTAGTTATACTCAGAGCCATTTATACTATTGTTTGAACCTTCAGAAACCAGGTTCTGAAGGTTCAAACAATAGTATAAATGGATTATAAACAGACAGAATTGTTCTTCAGTGACAGATCTTGATAAGACTGAGCTGCCTGGGAGAGGGGGGAAGCGGTTAATCACATCAAATAGATTCTCATTCTCATGATATTTAGAGTATAGTCTCCACCAGCTGCCACCTAGGAATCTGAAAGTAGATATCTATATATGTAATAGAGATGTAGCCGTGTTATATGGTGAGACACAACACATTTACACAGAAATATCAGAGACAGGCTCCTTTTCTCGGTATACTTTCTGAGAAGGGTTCAGACAACCTTATGAATTCCTAGAGATCAATCAATAATCAAGAGGCACAATGGCTTTAAATAGTATTTCATCAAATATCTGTAATTAGACATTAACAAGTTTACCACCTTTTGATTTTAAGGTGATAATTGTAAAGCTCAAACACATTATCTGTAAATTCTTTGGAAACCTACATACATGGTTCAATATCAGCCTCATCTATTACAGAGCAGGCTTCCTAACTCCTTCCATTATAAAAGATACTTGCAAGTGTCCATCACACGCTCCTCAAATTTGCAGCAGGGAGAAAGTTCTGAAGACTTTTCTGTGTCCTGGGAAATCTCATTCAGTTTGGCTGACATAAAAACTTGGAGTTACCATTTCCCTTCTGGGAGGAAGTCATGTTACTACTGAACATAATACAATTTGGTTTTACCTTTTTGATTTAAAAAAAAGTT